TCAAGTACCCTCTTCTTTTACATACCAATTCAATGGCTTTTAATATACAGTTGTCCCTTGGTATCCATGGGGGATTGGTTCCAGGACTTCCCACAGATACCAGGATCCTCAGATGCTCAAGTTCCTGATATAAAATGGAATATAGTATTTGCATATAACCCACGCACATCCTCCCATATACTTTGAGATTACTTATCCTATTTAATACAATGCCTACACATCACTTCCCTCGTGTGAATTCATCGTAGTACTAGGTGTACTCAAGTGTTGCGTTTGGGAATTTTATGGGATTTTTTTTCCAAATTTTTCCCTTCTAAGGTTGGTCCGATCCATGGATGAAGCATCCATGGATACAGAGGGCCAACTGCATTTACAGAGTTGAACAAGCATCGTCATAATGTATTTTTAAATGGCAATAAAACTTCTCCTGTGTCTTCTGGCCTGTGAGCTCGAGGGGGTCAGGGGTCACGTCTGCCACATTTGCTGCTCCATCCCAGCACCTGGCCTAGCACTTCGCACATAACAGGAGCTCAGTAAAGTACTTGTGAAATGAATGTTTTCATGCAGCCCACATACCAACCTGGAACTTCCGTATCCCTAGGTTTTCTAGATGCAAAAAATAACTACTTCTCTCCTCCAATGGAAACCTGCAGTTCAGCTAATCTCCCTGTGGTAGGCAGAATGGCCCCCAAGATTCCCACTGCCTGGTATGCACATGTGGTAGATCTCCTTCCCTCGGATGCGGGTGGGCCTGACCTAATCAGATGAGCCCTTTTGAAAGAGAGTCTAGAAGTCAGAGACAACAGGTCAGAGAGATTGAAGTTGCAGCAGAAGCTCCCCTGTTGGCCTTGAAAGAGCAAACTGCTGTGTGTGGCAAGGGCCACATGGCAGGAAATGGCAGGTAGCCTCTAGGAGCTGACCTCTAATTGATGGCCAACAAGAAAGGAGGGACCTTAGTCCTACAACTGCAAGGAACTGAATTCTGCCAAAAACCATGTGACCTTGGAAGATGACGCCAAGCTCCAGAAAGAAAGGCAGCCTGGGTGACACCTTGATTTCAGGCTTGTGAAACCCTGAGCAGAGAAGGCAGCCATGCCATACCTAGACTTCTGACTTCCAGAAACTGTGATATAATAAATGGGTGTTTTTTTAAGCCACTGGGTTTGAGATCGTTTGTTACACAGCAATAGAACACTAATATACTCTCCAGGAGTTAGGAGGAAAGCAGCCTGATTATATTAACTCCTAGGAATGACTGACCTCAAACCTCTCAGGGATATTGCTAAGGCATTTTAAAATGACGATATTTTTTTCATTCAAAATATTTTAATACTGGGCCGGCCCGGTGGCGCACTGGATAGTGCGCCACTTGGGAGTGCGGCGGCGCTCCCGCCGAGGGTTCGGATCCCATGTGGAGACCGGTTCCCACTCACTGGCTGAGCGCGGTGCGGGCGCAACGCCGAGGGTTGCGATCCCGTTGCCGGTCCCCAGTGCGGGCGCGACACCGAGGGTTGCAATCCCGTTACCGGTCAGTAAAAAAAAAAGACAAAAAGGAAAAAAATATATATATATATATTTTAATACTAAAAAAATAAAATAAAATGAAACAATGATGTTTTAATATAAAGGAATCTCTAACTGGTAAAATTTCAGGTGATATAAAACTTAACTGAAAAAAAATCTAAATAGTGTAAAGGGAGACATTTAGGTCAGCTATCCTTAAAATGTTTCTGTTTTTCTCAGATTCTTCCCGTCCATTCATTCAGCAAGTATTTACTATGTGCCAGACCCTAGTTTTAAGCACTAGAATGGCACTGTCCCAAAGGGCACCTACAAGCCACACGTGCCCCTTGAGCACCACAAAGTGGCCAGTGCGAACTGAGATGTGCTCTAAGTGAAAAATACACATCGGATTTCAAAGACTTAGTGTGAACGAAATATGTTAAAAGATCGTATCAGTATTTTCTTACACGGATTACATGTTGAGAGGATAATGATAGAGATGGGTAACAAAAGAGAAAACAAATAAATACAATAAGCACAGATTATAATAAATGCCATGAAGGAAATAAACAGGTGCACAGACAGAGATGGAGAATAACAGGACTTTATATGGAGTGGTCAGGAAAGAATTCTGAGGAGGTGACATTTCCATTTACAAATCCATGAATTTGCTATAAATTTTCAAGTTTTTACACATGGCAGTGGCAGGGGATGGGAGTCTAAGAGGGTTGACAAAGGTGGTTTGCAGGCCCACAGCATTGCTCCATTCCCACTGGGTTCTGTGTAAATGGCGCCCCCTGGAGGTGTGCACTGCTGTGACCCTGTTTGTTTGTATGAATATTATGTTTGTGTAAGTTCGAGGTTGTATAGTACAAAATGTAAAGCTTCCAAGATAATTTTTTCAAACTTTCCATTTTCCAACAATTGTTTTTATAGTTTTCATATTTACGATACACTTGGGCTTCATCTATTTTGTAACCTACAAAAAAATCCCCACTTGAGAATGACAAAAATTCCTGATTTCTAGCATGAAACAGGGAGGGCAGGCAGTTGGCAGTCTATGATCTGAAATTTTCCTCTTCCTCTCCCAGTGGGCTGAATTTGCTAAAGATATATAAAACCTTCCTGGCTTCTCGCTATGAATCAGCTGATTTCTAGAACTCAGTCTTTTTCTCTAAACAGGGACAGAAGTGTTAACTAGTATTCAAAAGAGGTTTTCAGAGTTGCCTAACCATACAGATCCTTCAAGCAAAAGGAAACAGGCCAAAGCCCACACAGGCCACCAAGGTGCCTGCAACCTCACTCAGACAGCTAAAGCAATGAACCTAGATGTACTTTTCCAGTAATTACTGCTCCTGAAAAACACATTTACTGCCTGTCACTGTGTACACACTTTTATATTTAAGAAAAAAAATTTTTACCCCTCCTCCACGCATACACAGTTCCCTAATTGACACTGGGCGAGGGGAAGAGCTTAAAGAAGTTGAGTGTTGAAAGTATATGAACTTTTTTTAAATGCCTGCAAAATATAGTATTCTCCATTCACCTGAAATGATAGCCTATGTGAAATGAAGATGCTCTTCTCTGAATATCAATAAATACTTATATAGGTGTTCTAAGTTGGCGTTTAAGAGCCTTAAGGTCTTGTTCGATGTCTTTGGAATGGAAAGAAAAGTTAATTACTACCCACTTTTAACCAGAGTTTTGTTAACAATAGTGTGCATTTTACACACAGGATCTGTTTCCATTCATACCCAAACCACGGGGAAAATGCAGCTTTCTTCATGCACAAAGTCAATTTTGCTGACCTGCCAGGAGGACAGCATCTGCTCCTTGTCTGTTCCATTAGTGGTGAAAGGTTTGCATTTATCCATTAATCCACCCTTCTTTCCCCTGGTGCCCCTAGAGACCAAAAACAGAGCTTTGCGAGAGAGCTGGGCAGCAAGAGGAACATTGTCCCCTAGCTGTGGAACAAGCAAAGGAAGCTACCTGATCACCCAGAAATCAAACTCATGACCTGGCCTTGGCCCCTCTCGACTACATATTTATATTTTTTTAAAAAATCAAAATAATGCTCTCTAAAAAAAAAATCTTCCAAATTATGAGGAACCCTGCAGAAGGTCTATCAGATTAATCCAAGGAACTTTCATCCTTTATGTTCAGGGGTATCACTTTGTATAAGAAACAATGTCTATATCAATATCAAATTTAAAATCTCTTTCCTTCCAGAATTTCTGACCTGATATGTTTGCAGATGCATGTCATGAAAACTGCTTTAAACAGAGAACAAGGGACACTGTTAGGCATCTTGGCATCGGCATTCATGTCATTCCAGAACCAGCACCACCCCGATCTCAAATCTGTTCTCAGAAATGTACGCAAGAAAACTCTCTGGGGACCCTGGGGAGCCTGGATAAACTGCACTGGCTCCCTGCCAGGGCAAAGAACAAAATAATATTCTGTATGAAAAAGTTGTTTTTCTTTTCTTTTCTTTTCTTTCTTTCTTTCCTCTTGGAGGGGAGGGGAGTGTTTGTATTTTTCTTCATTGTGCACCAGCTCCCTACAGACCACAAATCAATCCCTGAAAGTACACACTTTAATGTTAATGCAGTCAGAACAGGAACTGTTAAACAGTAAAGACAGCATTGAAAACTGAAAGATTCCTGCCTTGGATAATGTTAGGATGTGCTTAGCTCTTGGGAGATGCTTATCTTACTAACGAGTACTTCTGTTGGGAAGGGGTGATCTTCAGACATGCACCAGGGAGTCTTGAGGATGGTGAGCAGGATGCTGGACCAAGGCAGCACCCAGGAGAGGCTGAGGTCAGGCAGGGTTCTTGAACTTCACCTCTCATCAAGCCACACACCCAAAAGCCACTCCAAAAAGCATACAATCTAACGGAAACAAGTGGGCTTGTTATACAAAAGCAGCTTCAAATAAAGTCCCCACCAGGCCCGCCGCAACCGCTTAAAGTCAGCGCCGAGGGGGACCCCCCCGAGGGCTCCGAGGCGCCCCCGCGGGGCCCGGGACCTCCAGATCCCGAGGGCGCAGGGCTTCTCCCCGCACCCCGACCTTACAGTGGAAGGCGGGGAGGGGAGGCTGGGCCCACGGCCAGGACGGGGTGTCCCCCACACCCCACTACAGGGCGCGCTTGGGGCTCTGGGGGTTGCTTTATTCATTTTCTCAGTTGGAGGCAGGGGGCGCACAACGCCCTTTGGCTCGCCGTGATCCCCAGCAATCTGGATTAGGGGTACCCGCAAAGAGCCCACCTGGAGCCCACCGCCCCACCCAACGCCGCCGTCTCCCGCCGGGATGACAAGTGAGAACAGCGAATCCCCTTTCTCTTCCCCTCCAGCCTTCTGGTTGGGAGGTAATGTTCCACCCGGCTTTCCTGCCGCCCGTAGTGGACTCGCCCGCCGGGAGGTGGCGGCGGGGGACGCGGCCCCCCGGGACCGGGGACCCGGAGCGGGCGAGGCCCGGCCGGGCGCGGTGCTTACCTCGTCCACGGTGAGCGGCATGCAGATCCGGTACTCCTTCAGCAGCATGGTCCTGCCGGCCGCGGACCCCCGGAGCAAGAAGCTGGGGGCGCCCCCTGGACCAACGAGGCTGCCACCCAGGCGCAAGGCAGGGCGCCCGGAGCCCGGCACTCGGAGCCGGCCGGCCACACAGCTCCGGCGGTGCGCTCAGCTCCTGGCTTCCTCCTCTCGGCCCGGGAGCATGTCAAGGTTTGGGACCCGGTGTTCGTGGCTCCCCCGCCTCCTTCCTCGCTGAGGTCGGTCCTCCCGGAACGCGGTGTGGCAAAGTCAGGGAGGGAAGAAGGGAGACCCACCTGGAGACCGCTCGGATCGGCAGCCCGGGGCGGTGGGAGCGGCCGCCAGATCAGGACATGCCAGGCAGCGGGCAAGGGAGGAAAAAAAGAGATTTCCAAAAATTAAAACGAATGCACAAAAGTCACCCGCTCGATCCACCTCCGAAAGCAGACATGAACCTGGCGACCTCCCTGCTCCGGCCGCTCTGCCTATATGCTAATGTCACCAGGAATGCATTGCAGCCAGAGCTGGAGATGCTGACTTTCCAGACAAAGGCTCGATCGGCTCCTCTCCTCGGGCGGTAAACAAGATTTCCTGCTCCTGTTAGGGCCGGTCCCCGAGCCGCTCCAGGGCTCGGATGGGAGCGAAAAAGGAAGCCGCCACCGCCGCCGCTCGGCTCTGCCCGCCTGGGGCCCCGGGTGCCTCCAGCCTCGGCTCGCGGCTGCCAGGGGCGGGCGAGAGGAAGCTGGCGCCTTCCGCGCGCGTCCCCTCCCCCGAGTCCCTTGGCTCCCCGAGCGCCGTGCGTGCCCGCGAGTTTGCAGCCACCTCGCCGTGGCCGGAGAGTCCGCGCCGAGCTGCAGTGTGCCTGGGGCTGGGAGGTGGGAGCGGGAGGAGCGATTGCGAGCGAGGCTGACATCAGCTAGCCCCATCCGGCCAATGGGGAAATGGCAAAGAATGTGGAGGATTTAAACAAAACAGCAGTAATAACTTCGTATAGCATACATTATACGAAGTTATACGACCCTCCCCCGAGTCCCTTGGCTCCCCGAGCGCCGTGCGTGCCCGCGAGTTTGCAGCCACCTCGCCGTGGCCGGAGAGTCCGCGCCGAGCTGCAGTGTGCCTGGGGCTGGGAGGTGGGAGCGGGAGGAGCGATTGCGAGCGAGGCTGACATCAGCTAGCCCCATCCGGCCAATGGGGAAATGGCAAAGAATGTGGAGGATTTAAACAAAACAGCATGTCTCTACCGAGCTGCTGCCAGACGAAAGGGCTGCCCCAGTGCCGAGCCCGAAGGGCGCATCGGAACAGCGGGCTTCCCTCGGCTTTCTCCCCTTTGAGTCTGTTCTCAAATGTGCTCCAGGGAGCCACAGCGCTCCGTCCAGCCACTCTGGGGAGCTCCTGGTTCCAAGGGCGCATCGGAACAGCGGGCTTCCCTCGGCTTTCTCCCCTTTGAGTCTGTTCTCAAATGTTCTCCAGGGAGCCACAGCGCTCCGTCCAGCCACTCTGGGGAGCTCCTGGTTCCGGGGCCCAAAAGTGTTCCTTGACCTTTGGGGGGAAAGTCTTTGCAACTGCCACCACGAATGTTTTCACTTTGGCCCAGTAAGCAAGTCCAGTGCTGGAGAGGCGATGGAATTTAAGAGCTGGAGAACAAACCCTAGTCTGGTTCCCAACTGGTTTCAGAGAAGGAATCCTGGAAAATTGGGAAGTGCAGCAGTGTGAAGGAAATGAGATACAAACAGAACGACGTGCGAGGAGAAGAGAGACTGTCACCTCTTCTGGCCCAGCACTGCAATCAGACCGCAGGCTTCGCAGAGCAGAAAGAATAGGTTTTCGTGTCAGCACTCCTAAGTTCAAAAGGTCACAGTGAAATGTCAATGAAAATGCCTGGAGTGTTGGCATTTCATCCATATTAAACAGATCCCTCATTTTAACCACAAAAAGCACATTCTTCAGTTTCTCAGGAAGCAGCATGTAACTGCTGAAGTCTGTTTTTCATTTGTCTGGTATTTTTGAGCTTGTTTTCCAGAAAAGTTGCTGGATGAAAAATGCATTAGTCGCCTGTATGAGAATAACCTGAAAGCATCATCTTTTCTCCAAAAAATATTCATGCTCTAAAGTCCTGCAGCTACTCATAGAGCTTGGGTTTGGATGGCAATACAGATGGCCTCAATATTATAGTATTTTTAATTATGATTAATAAGTAATTAACCAATATAATGATGATGGGCATGTGACAAAAAACATCCAGATGGCTGGAGAGAATTTATAACTGTGCAAACATGATACAAAGCCTGCTAGGAAACTAACACCCTATATCTGGCTTATATTTTAGTGAAAACTATTTTCTAGATAAATGCTTCCCAGAGTTGACTCAGAAATATTCACAGCAACTAATTAAAGCTAAACCAAATTCCTCGAGGTGGAAAATCTAAATCTGACACTGTAGTGCTGAATAATAACACTTTGAAAGTCTGTGATACGGAAAGAGGCTCAAGCTGTTTTTCTTCTTTCTACTTCTTACTCGAAAACAAGTGTAGTGGCTTCGCTCTGGACACCTAATAATCTTCCCAGAGCCACCTAGGGAATGTACTGGCCAGCCACACATACACACAAGGCACTGGGGTTTGTGGACTCTATTCCTAGCTTCCCAGATGTTTCCTGGCATTGACTGTGGAACTGTGTATTTTACGGGTGGGTATTATAGCTGAGGAACTACGTCTCTGAATTTCTCCCACTGTAAATTGTCATTACAGAAGGATGTGCTCCTTCCCCTATTCCTCATGTAAAGTGACTTCTTCATCGGATTCTCCTTTCATTCACTCTATCCCCATACCTGGTCACATTAATCTCGTGCAAGCACAGCTCTAATCCTGCCACCTTCAAAACCTTTCAGTGATTCTCTGTGACCTACTGAATGAGTCAAAATTCCGTGGCATGAAGTTCAAGGTTCTGAATCTACCTTTCCCACATTAAGCCATTGCCCTTTCCCAGCCCTTCTCCAGCCAAATGAGACAAATCTGTTGGCTAGGGAAGACTCCACTTTACTGCCTTGACCCTTGTGCTCCACCCATTGCCTTCACAGAGAATCCCTTTCCCTGGGCTCATCCCCCACATTTTAAAGTCAGGCCCTGACAATCTGTGGTTTGGAAAGTGATTCTGATACGCATTGTGTTGGATACGAGAGCAGAAACAGGAGGTTATTATATTAACACTACAGGAGATACATGAAGAGGGTCTGAACTAGACAGGGAATGAATAAATGAGGGTGAATTCAGGAGATTTGTGCAGTATTTGGGGACAGATGGGTGTTACCTGCAAGCGCACTTTTGCGGGGAGGGTAAAGGAAGAGGTTGTTCATTCATAACTCGTTCACACTAAGGAAGAGATCGCCATCTACTGGTAAAGCACGATCGTTAAAAAATGCCTGCAAGTGGCAGGGAGAGTTGATACCCTTGTTTCTTTTGAACCCATGAAGCTTTAATATCTACTTACAAAAAGCCTTGAAGGTGTTGCCATCATCATTATGTTCTATTAACAAGGTGCAATCTGCGGTTACTGATCATCACATATAAAAGATAAGGGTGGCGCACAAAGGACAAAAAGAGGAATAAAGAGAAAAGTTATCAGGGAGGAATGATAGGAGCAAAAGAAAAAGAATATTAGGCTGCGTGAGTCTGTGACAGCATACATTGTCAGATAAGTGACAACCTCTGAAGGCAGGGGCTCTCAGAACTCGGGATAGGGGCAGGTGCACATCAAAGTAATCTGGGGAGCTTTTCCAACCCACTGTCCTCGCTCCAATTCTGAGGATACCACCCTCCCCCCACCCATTGAAACCTCTGTGTGAAAAGCCCTAGGAAGGTCTTGACCCACCTCTGCAGTCGTTGTGACTCTATTCACATCAAGTCTTATTCCAAGACTATCCCCAGAACTTCTAAAGCAAAATACACTATTCTGGTTCTTACCTTCCTGTTTCCTTCCCACTGTGTTTAAGGTCTATGGGTTCATCAAGGCCCGGCACAAATCCTATCTTCCACATGGAGCCATTCTAGAAAACTCTTTACCTTCCTAGCCAACCCAGATCACTTGTCTGGACTATTCATTTTGGTTCCTGTTTGTAGGCAAGTGTGGCCTTTATATATAATGTCATATAAGTACTCTAATGTTTCTCACCTATCTTCCACATGGAGCCATTCTAGAAAACTCTTTACCTTCCTAGCCAACCCAGATCACTTATCTGGACTATTCATTTTGGTTCCTGTTTGTAGGCAAGTGTGGCCTTTATTATATAATGTCATATAAGTACTCTAATGTTTCTCAGCTGTTCAACTCCTCAACATGATGGTAAGCTTCCTGAGGGACAGACTTGATGTCCTCTCCGCATCATCTGGAAAATGTAGCATGGTGTGAGGGATATCATAGGTACCCAATAAATGTTATTAAGTGTGTGCATATTTTAGCGCAGAGATCTCAAACTTAGCGCTACTGACATTCTGGGACGGATAATTCTTTGTTGTAGGGGTCATTATAGGATGTCTAGCAGCATCCCTGGCCTTTCCCTCTGGATGTCAGTAGCAACCCCCACGCACATCCCACACGCATTACCAAATGTTGGGGGTGGGTGGGGTGATGGGTGATTAGTGTAACATTCATTAATCTTATCTAATCGTCTAGCTACTCCAAGAAGAAGATTTTGGAGAGACTGACTTTCAGCTTGTCAAAAGGAGGGCTAAGAAAAGAAGGAATAAAATTGTTACATCACAGTATATTAAGACGTCCCCTTCTCATTCCCATAGTCAGCTTTATATCACCAAACTAGCCCTTGATAAAGACCCTTTTATTGCTTGTTTTAACCTTATCCTTGGTCACTTAGTTAAGGTCACATCTGCCAGGGTTTCCCATTGTAAAGGTTCTGTTTTTTTCCCTTTCCATACTGTGTTCTGTTGAAGCGAGTCATTAAGTCCAGCTCACACTGAAAGCAGTGCAATAGAGCCCCACCTCCTTGAGGGGAAAGTATCTGCACATACAATGTGTAATTCTTCCGCAAGACTTGTCCCTTCTCCCCCATTTATTTATTCAATTATTTATTTATGTGAGTATGGACTCATGCATATTTACTTTATACTCTGAGTCACTACATTATTAATTTTGTTGCTCAGATTGTTCCAGCTTTGGCCATTGGTAGCTCTTTCAGGTTTCAGGTTTCTTTCAGGTCCTATGTCCTTTTGACATGCTCCCCCTTTTTAAAGGGTAGTTTTTGGAAATCAAATTATTCTTTGCAATATTAATTGCTTAATTCCAGAAAAGTCTAACTGTATGCATGTGTGTGTATTGAAATACCTATATACCTGATCTTGTTTGGTTACTAAGCAAATGTTAAATTCTTTCCTAATAAAACTACACAAAGCAAGTCCCAAGGCAATTCTTATATGTGGACACATTTGTCCGGCCTCTTTTAAATACAGGCAAGCTTTGATGTGGAATTGGTTGTAGCTACACAATAAAGGCCCATAAAATAAAAGTGAATTGACAGTGATGTGGTACAAATTGCTTCACACAGAAAAAACCTGGAGGTTTTGTGGCCAAAGGTGTAGTTCTTTTGTTTGCTTTTTGGTTTTTTTTTAATAAGCTAGTAATACATTAATCAAAGTTTTACTTTTTATTGCATTACCTGTTTTGTTTTTTTTTCAGAAACTGGCAAAACATTGGAATGTTTTTAGATAAACTAAAAGGCCTAAACTTTCTTACTAAGTCTTTTAATTACCTGCAGAATGACCTAGGAGAAAACACAGTGTTAAGACCATTACACTGCAGCTATCGGTTCCTCATTTTAGGCATATGAGACCTCAAAGTCTAGCACTGTGACATTCTTTTGGTAAGAAAATCCCAATC